AGTTTCGCAGCTGCAGCCAGCTCAGCGGCCCTAACGCGTTCTTCAAATTCCTCTGCCATTTGTTCACGCGCCGTTGCCTCCGCTTTCGCTGCCCTTTGCGCAGCCTCGCGTTGTTCTTCCGCTGCTTTTTGCGCCGCCTTACGCTGCTCTTCAGCAGCCTTCTGCGCCTGTTCCGCACGCGTGTTAGCCTCACGCGCCGTTGCCTCGACCGAAGCGAGCATCCGAGCCGCTTGTTCCGCCTGAAGCCGAGTACTGGCGTCTGCCGCGCTCCGCGCCTCAGCTCCCTGTAACGTCTGCTGTTGCAGCTGTGCGAGGAGCGACGCGTTCTGCGTCTGCATGTCCCGCATCATCGCGGCGTGCTGTTGCTGCTGGTGCAACATGGATTCCTGCTGCATCCGCATTTCCGCCTGAAACTGTGCTCGCATTTCCGCCATCTGCTCTGTCAGAGCAGTAACGGCCCTGTCCGTGACCGCTTGTGTAGCGTCCACACGCCCGCCGAGGCTTGCCACAGCAGCGTCCGTTGCTTGTTGTGTGTGCTGTACTTCTCCGTCGAGGCGTCTCACCGCCGCGTCCGTTGCTGCCTGCGTGTGTTCCACACGGTCATCGACCATTTGTACCGCGTCCGCAGCCGTCTGTTTGCCGTGTCGCACCTGCCTTACCGTCGCCTGAAAACCTGCTGCCACCGCCTGTGTGAAGCTCTCAGCCTCCTGACGCGTGACGAAGTCGGACGAAGAAGCGGATGCGACGTTGCTAACCGAAGACCCTGAAGCCGCCGTTGTCTGCGCAACAGCAGATGCACCGACCGCCGGTGACGTCGCTGCGCCCTTGATCGCCAGTGCGCCCGCACTCGCTGATCCTTTCTTTCCAGCCTTCGCTCCGTCAACCCTGGCTCTCTTGGCGGGAGAGGGGGTTGCTGTGCTCACTGCTATAGCTGGAGGAACTATCGTGCTTGCCGCCGGTGCTGGCGTCATCGCCACATCTGCGATCGCTGGCTGCCTCGCCGGGCTGAGTGGCCTGGGGAGCATCGGCGAATCCCGATCGGAATCCGCAAACGACATTGCGGCGTGT